AAGATCGAACTACATCACTTATGACTTTCTTTGAAATGCATCGCAGCACCGAGGGGTTAATACCCGATCGAGGTGAAGAATACCCGATCAGGTATTTATGCTATCCTGTCGGACCCCCCCCCCCCCCCCCCGGAATTTCAGTTTTCCCCAGCCTCTCTTTGCATTTTACCCGATCGGGTATTTTAACTCCTTGCCAGCTATTTTGCCTGTCCAGCGCCTTTCACTCCCGTGTCCTCCTTTTTGACCCGAAACTCATTTCCTCGCCTTCACGTCAATGCCTATTCCTGAAACATGACATAAACACACAGCCTAGCGTGAAATTAGCTTAAAACACGAGAATCAACATCTCAAACGGCCCAAGAATGGAGGTCAAAATATGTGCAAATAATGGTCTATCAATTGCATCCCAATTTCCAGCATCAAACAACCTGCAATTTAAAGTCGAGAAAAGTCTATGAGAAAAAGAACAGTGTAGGAAGAGATGTTCTCGAGACTCCATTGGAAACGTACATAATGGACAGGAGGCATTTGTCAGCTTCCTCCAGCTCAACAGCTTATCCTTCGTCACAATACCATTCTTCGAAATAAACCATGCAATGAAACTATAACGAGGGGGACAAAACTTACTCCATACGAGCTTGAACCATGGCACCTCAGATTGTTTTGCACGCAATAACTCCCAAACTTGACGAACAGAGTACACAGTCATCAACTTTGCTCCCCAAGGAATAATAAAATAATTATTTTTTGCAACTCAATTTCGTAATATGTTGCGTAAATTATATAAATACGCAACTTTAAAAGTGGTTTGCAGATATGTGTTGCCTATAGGGGACTAAATGCAACATATTCTTTTAAGTAATTAATTTTAGTTGCCTAAAGTACTAATTTGTAACACTAGAAAAAAGTGTTGGCATTATGTATCTAAGGTAACACTTTTAGATAGTGTTGCACTCCGTGTGTTGCAAGAGACCCTTTTTCCCGTAGTGCCAATAGAGTTCACCATCCCTTTGTTGTATCCATGACCTTAGTTTATCTCTTGTTTTGAGCAATCTCCTCCAGGTTCAGGAACTGTCGTACTGAGATTTCAACGACCATAAATCATCATGTTTGCATTTATACTCGTGCATCCATGCTACCCAGAAGAATTTAAATATTTTGAGTGACCAAACTTGAACGTTTTTTGTAATCTCAGTGACCAACCATGTAATTAACCCTAAGTTCCAAAAGCACAAAAGATTAGAGGCACAAATCAAGTACTTAAATAAAATTGAAAGCTAAATATCACGAAAATTTTGTGATTCCACAATGACAGAAAGTAACAGATTTTTGTAATCACACACCAAGAAAAAAGTTTGATAACATATTACACAATGCTGCAGTTTTTACACCCGCACCGTAACATTGGCCCCAAATTAAATAGCCTTTGCCAAACTAAAGAAGGAAGCAGGGCGCTCGATCATTGAGATTGGACTCGTCTTTGATGAGATAAGAGAGCTGAGATAAGAAGGGTTGGCCCGAGATAGTGGACTTTTGCTAAGCAGGCTTGCAATAGAGCATCATATAATATGGCACATATATGTTGAGATGTTGGGGAGACTTGGGTTGGGTACCGTCATTTTTTGACAAACTAATTGTCAGACTATTATTATTATTATTATTATTATTATTATTATTATTATGAACATCTACGTGAAAGAATGCTGTGATAGGAGTCCAAAATGAAAAAAATTTGGTCGTATGGAGATCACCGAATCAGAACTCAGCAAACCCTAGTTCCCAACTTCCTCTCTTTCTCCTGAAACTAGCGCCGGCCGCGCGGCCGCAAGAAATCGACACTAACGTAGCGCTAGAAGGAACATCCTCGAGATATAAACGGTGAGTGCTTAGTTTACTTTTCTTCCCTTTTTTCTTTTCTTCACGAGCAGTGACCGAATAGATATAAAATTAGGGTTTGTCGCTATTTTGCTTCATCTGTTCAAATATATTTGTTTATCTTTATATATTTAGTTAGGTAGTAAACTAGTGATCATAAGCAAAGTAACTAAAAACGCGTTTTTACGCAAAAGCATTTTGATGATTTAAAAGTTTAAAATCATAAACTTTTAAACTTGTAAGCGCATTTTTAACTACATAAGTTACAATAATTGTGATTCCGTGTAAAAATGTTTGTGTGATCTAGAAATGTAAAAACGTATGTTTTTAACTTTCAAAACGTGTTGGGTTGGTCCAACTCAATTGGTGGTTGGATTAACCGGTTTGAGTTTGAGTTTTGGTTGGTTTCTAGAGGATCCTCAATTTTCAAAATAAAGAGTTATTGTCTACTCAAAAGTAAAAAAGAGGTGACAGCCTTTCATTTTTTAGAGAGAGAATCAGAAAAGAGAAAAGATAAGGAAAAAGAGAGAAGAGAAAGAGCTGCAGTTTTTCGTTTCTGCAGCAGGGCAGCCTGTTCAAGTGAGCGTTCTGGAAGATTGAACCGTTGGATTGTCCTGAAATTTGGACAGTGAGTTTGCCATTATATGGGATTCAATCTGACCGGAGAGATCGTCGTTTGGTTCTCTAGATTCTCGGGAATAGCTGATGGACAGAAGGTGTACGAATATGTTTTTTGGTATCTCTAAACCTCTCTTTGCCTTGCTCTTGTTCTTGTTATCCACCACTAGTTTTTTGGCCCGCGCTTCGCAGCGGTAAGAAACTATTTACATTTGAAATTCCATTCACTTGTTTAGACAAATTAAATAATTTACAAAATCATAAGGATTAATTGCCTCCATAAAATTTATGTAGTGTCTTAATCAATACGAACATAAGATGTATGTAGTGTCTTGATCATTGTGTGAAGAATTTTGTAATAAGTTTGTTCAATTGACACATAAAAGTAATTATATATCATTTCATAAGTTTTACGTAGTGTCTTCACTATTAGAGAAGACTTATGTAATAAGTTTGTTTAATTTTTAAATAATAAATGTGAAATTTTACAATGTTTTGAAGCGTTGGTGCTTTAGCTTTTTGTCTTTATGAGACAAATTGAAGTTGTACTTTTAATGTTATGGTACAACTTCAGATTGTACATATTTTTTTTTTGTACAAATCCTTTTATGGTACAAACTAAATTTGTACCTTTATGTTATGGTACAATTTCAAGTTGTATCATAACATAAAAGTACAAATTTCTGGAAGAATTTATTAATAAGTTTCTTCAATTGACACATACGAAATAATTATATATCATTTCATAAGCTTTACGCAGTGTCTTAACCATTAGAGAATACTTAAGTAATTAGTTTGTTTAATTGCTAAATAAGAAATAATTATCCCTCCATAAACACTTTTACGTAATGCATTTGAAATTCGGTAACTGTTATAAAATGTTGTTATGTAAATCTTTCGTATTGTGTGGTCTAATAATAAAATCAAGTTAAAAAAGTATCAAACTATTTTTATTATAGCAATTGAATGTATTTATGGTATAACCAGTGGTGGGAAGAAGAAAGAATTGATCAGTGCATGCATCTTGATGATAAAAAAAATGAAGGGAGCATGGACGGCCTTATAGGCTTGGAATGATCAATCGTGGTTGTGTTTTTTCCTTTCTAGATATAAGGTGAGTTTAATACATCAGCTCACATAGTATAATATCCCTATGAACAGTGTTTTCGGATTAGTGTTTGCCTACTCATTAGCATTTAGGCATTTAGCAATGTTATCGCAATTCGCAAGGGCTTGGGTTAAGCGAGTTTTTCGTGAGGAACAGTGCAATTAATGAAAAGTAAACTTGTACCTTTATGTTGTGGTACAATTTCAAGTTGTATCATAACATAAAAGTACAAATTTCTGGAAGAATTTATTAATAAGTTTCTTCAATTGACACATACGAAATAATTATATATCATTTCATAAGATTTACGCAGTGTCTTAACCATTAGAGAATACTTAAGTAATTAGTTTGTTTAATTGCTAAATAAGAAATAATTATCCCTCCGTAAACACTTTTACGTAATGCATTTGAAATTCGGTAACTGTTATAAAATGTTGTTATGTAAATCTTTCGTATTGTGTGGTCTAATAATAAAATCAAGTTAAAAAAGTATCAAACTATTTTTATTATAGCAATTGAATGTATTTATGGTATAACCAGTGGTGGGAAGAAGAAAGAATTGATCAGTGCATGCATCTTGATGATAAAAAAAAATGAAGAGAGCATGGACGGCCTTATAGGCTTGGAATGATCAATCGTGGTTGTGTTTTTTCCTTTCTAGATATAAGGTGAGTTTAATACATCAGCTCACATAGTATAATATCCCTATGAACAGTGTTTTCGGATTAGTGTTTGCCTACTCATTAGCATTTAGGCATTTAGCAATGTTATCGCAATTCGCAAGGGCTTGGGTTAAGCGAGTTTTTCGTGAGGAACAGTGCAATTAATGAAAAGTACACTTGTGCTTTTAATTAAATAATGTTGGTGAGAGCTATTGTGGTTGATTGTTGATCCAAGAAGGGTGTCCTTGAGGTGTTTGTAATCCTCTAGCTAGTCTAGAGAGGACTTGTAATCCCACCAAAGTCTAGTGGAGTTGTGGCTTGGACAAAGGTCCCGTGGTTTTTCCCGATTTGGGTTTTCCACGTAAAAATGTTTTGTGCATTCTATTATTGTTTGTGGTTGCTGCCCGGTTTCTCAACAGTGGTATCAAAGCATTAGGTTGTTTGGGGGCTATGTTTGGTGAATGACAAGAATGGATGACTTAAGTGGAGCAATGATTAAGTTGACATCATCCAACTACTCTATTTGGAAGCCTCGGATGGAGGATATTCTGTTTTGCAAGGATCTCTATGAGCCAATTGATAATGGCAGCGAGAAGCTGGAAGACAAGACCGAGAAGCAATGAGAGGTCTTTCATAGAAAGGCGGTGGCAATCATTGGACAATGGATTGACCAAAGCATCTTTCATCATGTTGCAAAAGATACAAGAGTAGATGAATTGTGGCAGAAATTGGAGTCCATGTATGAGAGGCAATCGACTCAAAATAAAGCCTCACTCATTCGAAGAATTGTGAACTTGAAGTACAAGGATGGGCATTTGTCGGATAGTTGGGAGACTTTGGTGGTCTCACTTAGCAACTCAGCACCTAATGGCAAGTTGACGATGGACATTGTCAAGGATAGCATGTTGAATGAAGAGGCAAGGAGAAAAGAGTTGGGGATTGCATCAGAGTCACATGCTTTGGTGGCGGATAATTCTGGAAGTCGTGGAAGAAACATAAATCGAAATTCCAACTTCAAGAACTCTCAAAATTTAAGTAACAGCCGATGGAGATCAAAAGGGAGATCAAAATCAGTGTCAAGACCAAGAGGAGAAATAACATGTTATCATTGCAACCAGCCCAGACACATGACGAGAGAGTGCAGAATCTTGAAACGAGAACAAGCTAGAGGAAGAGGTGTGGAAAACCGAGAAAAAGATGAAACTACTGATGCTGCCACAGATGGTGATGTAGTCATTGTTTGTGATGCTAGTTTGTTAACCTTACTTGTCAAGAGAGTACATGGGTTGTTGACTCGGGTGCCTCATTCCATGTGACCTCACGGGTTGATTTTTTCTCTTCCTACACAAACGGTAACTATGGTTGTGTGAGGATGGGAAATGATGGCGCAACAAAGATTGTTGGCATGGGTGATATTCATCTAGAGACCAACACGGGTTGCAAGCTAGTCTTGAAGGATGAGAGACATGTTCCTGACATGAGGCTGAATTTGATATCCATGGGAAAGCTTGATGATGATGGTTATACCAACTATTTTGGAGAAGGAAAACGGAAGCTCTCAAGAGGTTCTCTTGTGGTGGCTAAAGGCAAGAAGGAAAGTACGCTCTACATGACGAATGCAAAGCATAGCAAGGGAGTAATCAATGTTGTTGAGAAAGATTCTTACATTGAGCTTTGGCATAAGAGACTCGGTCATTTGAGCGAGAAGGGACTGCATTGTCCAAGAAACAACTCTTTCCCGGAGCTAAAGGTACTCTTCTTAAAACTTGTGTTCATTGCTTAGCCAGAAAAACTCGTAGAGTTGCATTTCATAGATTTCCACCTTATACAAGGAGTAAGGTATTTGACCTAATTCACACCGATGTTTGTTTTATGCGAGATAAAACTCTTGGTGGTGCAAGCTATTATGTTACCTTCATCGATGATCACTCAAGGAGGGTGTGGACATATGCTTTGAAAACGATGGATCAAGTGCTAGATGTTTTCAAGCAATTTCATGGAGAAGTGGAAAGGGAAACCGACCTGAAGTTGAAGTGTGTAAGGGCTGATAACGGGGGAGAGTATAGAGGTACATTCGAAAGCTACTGCAGATTTCACGGAATTAAACTGCAGAAAAGTGTACCCAAGACTCCACAACAAAACGGTGTCGCCGAGAGGATGAATAGAACAATTTGTGAAAGAATCAATTGTATGCTCTCACATGCCAAGCTACCTAAATCATTTTGGGGAGAAGCAATGCGAACAACGGTTGATCTAATCAATCTCTCACCATCGGTCCCATTGGAGGGTGATGTGCCTCAACGAGTATGGACGGGAAAGGAAGTCTCATGTGAACACTTGCGAGTGTTCGGTTGCAAAGCATATGTTCATGTTCCAAAAGATGAGAGAGCAAAGCTCGATGACAAAGCAAAGCAATGTATATTCATGGGCTATGGGCGTGAAGAGTTCGGGTATAGGTTATGGGATCCAATTGCAAGGAAAATTATCCGGAGTCGGGATGTGATTTTTATTGAAGATGAGACAAGTGAAGATGTCGAAAGGGGTGAAAAGAAGAAAAACACAGCAACTGGTCCGGTTAATTTGGAGCCTATATCTCCATCCCAAATGCATGAAAATGTTGAGGAAGTAGTGCATGATGAGCAAAAGAAGAGCAATTGGAGCAAGAAGAACAAGTTGAAAAAGAGCAACCACTACCCGAACCAAGAAAGTCAACAAGAGATCGCAAAACTTCCACTTGGTACTCTCCTCATGAGTACCTATTGTTGACTGACGGGGGAGAACCTGAATACTATCAAGAAGCCATGTCTCATGAAGACAAGAGGAGTGGAACAAAACAATGCAAGAAGGGATGAAGTCTTTGCAAGAGAATCACACCTATGATTTGGTGAAGCTACCAAAGGAAAAAGATCACTTAAGAACAATTTGGTTTACAAATTAAAAACGGAGGAAATTAGTTCAAAGCCTCAGTTTAGGGGGCGACTAGTTGTGAAGGGCTTCAACCAAAAGAAAGGTGTTAACTTTGAAGAAATTTTCTCTCCCGTGGTGAAGACGTCCTCTATCCGAGTTGTGCTTGGATTGGCAGCAAGTTTGGACTTATAAGTTGAACAACTTGATGTAAGGACGGCGTTTCTTCATGGTGACTTAGAGGAAGAGATATACATGGATCAGCCGTAAGGGTTCGAGGTTAAAGGCAAAGAAGATCTTGTATGCAGATTGAGAAAGAGCTTATATGGGTTTAAGCAAGCACCAAAGGAATGTGCTCTATTATGATAGTCAAAGTGCAGTCCATCTTTTCAAGAATCCTACTTTCCATTCTAGGTCGAAACACATAGATGTTCGATATCATTGGATTCGTGATGTTTTGGAAGAAAAGTTGTTGGAGCTCAACAAGGTGCATACAGATGACAATGGTTCAGACAAGATGACTAAGTACCAAGTAAGAAACAAATCTTCTATCGAGATGAAGCATGTTTGCCGCTACCCCCCATATGAGCTAGAGGGGGAGATTTGTTGGGTTGGTCCAACTCATATGGTGGTTGGATTAACCGTTTTGAGTTTTGGTTGGTTTCTAGAAGATCCTCTATTTTCAAAATAGAGAGTTATTGTCTGGTAAAAAGTAAAAAGAGGAGCCAGCCTTTCATTTTCAGAGAGAGAATAAGAAAAGTGAAGAGAGAAAGAGTTGCATTTTTTCGTTTCTGCAGCAGGGCAGTCTGTTCAAGTGAGAGTTCTGGAAGATTGAACCGTTGGATCGTCCTGAAATTTGGACAATGGGTTCGCAATTGTCTGGGCTTCATTCTTGAGGTGTTTGTAATCCTCTAGCTAGTAGAGAGGACTTGTAATCCCACCATAGTCTAGTGGAGTTGTGGCTTGGACAAAGGTCCCGTGGTTTTTCCCGAATGTTCATACGCACATAGGTACTGACACTCTCGATTATCTATCGAGCACCGGTTTCGTGCAGATATTGATAATCTTGGATTTATTAAGCAACATATGTATGATAGTTGTGGAGGAGACACTAGATTTGTGTCATGATACTTGAGCTGTATAGATAGAGTCAAGATGAGTCACTGCAGAACCAATGAATTTAGTTCTCTTCTCTATAAATTGATCTTCTTCCTTTAATCAATTATGGAATTTAGCAGATGAAGATGGAAAAATGGTTTATCTCTCTCTCTCTCTCTCTCTTTTGAACCTTTGGAGGGGTGGGATACAGATGAAGGAGATCCACTTCTTCTATTGTAAATCTATCCACCCCCTCACAAGTCATTTACTTCTCTATACAGATGGTGGCTACGTGGTGGCTATTTAGTCTAGGCTGGGAAGTGGATTTTTGCATGATTAAGAAGCCATTAAAAGCTCCAGGGGATAGCTGCATTCCCTTGCCTTCAGTTTACTCTACCAAAATAAGTTCGACCGTTCACCACACCCCTACACTTAACAAATTCAAATACATATTGGCATGAGCTAGGGAGATGGTAACTTAGCAGTATAATTTCTATTTTGGTCCTAATTTATTACGATGAGTTTCCTATTAGTTTTAATCTTAGGTAAATAACTAGTCTCGAAATACGTTAGTCACCATAACTGGACACTAGTTAATCAACAGTGGCACATATTTAAATCCTTACTCATGACATACACTTAATTAAACAGTTTAAGATGGAGCGGATGTGACACTCTTCATCCGGACGTTGCATGATGTGAATTAGATTAAAGAATATAACTTAACATGAACTATGCATGGTATTAAAATCCAATTCTAATAGAGAATAGCACAAATTTTACATTAATGTTGATCATCATTTTGATTCATAGTTTATTTACCTCGATCAAGTTAGGCATATTGTTGGTGGTCTGCTCTTCCTCTTACTTCCCTATTTTGGTATATTTGTACTCAGTTGTGGATTAGCGATGTTGTAATATGTGAGTTTGATGCCGAACTGGAACATCATTTCCTCAATTTGTAGGAGATGAACGTTGATGCAAAATGCCCAAATGGTCAAAGAGTTTTTAGATACATATTTTTATAATGGAAAGCCATGTGTGTCGTGTAAAATCATCAACTATCGTGAGAAAGTATCTATTTCCAGAAACATAAGTAATATATGTTGCTCCCCAAATGTCGATATGAAGAAGATCGAAACTAGTAGATGAATGAGAGTGACTTAATTATTGTGAGTAATAGCAAGTGTATAGTGAGGAAATTTTTATCTGGTAACTTAATTAATATGAGCATGGTATTTGGGTCATGAAGCGGCCCAAATTCGAGGTAGCGAATTTAGTTATGGTAAAGTGTGGTTGTGTCTTTAAGTATGTGTTAATGATAACATTATATGATGATGATGTGGTGTGATTTCTATGTTAATGCATGGACATAGAAGTGGCAGGGGAACCTCAATGTGAGAATGATAAGAATGTTGATGAGATGAGTAAAAAGAGGCATGAAATGCCTTCATGATGATGATGAAGTCGATCATGATAATGATTTTGTTAGAGATAATGGTGATGCATGTGACGTGGATGATGGTTATGGATGTGATATGAATGTGTTTCTTTGTATGTGTGTGTTAAACGGTTAGTCATGCACCCTGGGAATATAATAATGTGATAAAGTACGTCCTCAGTAGGGACTTTGTGTATATATTCAGTTATGTGCTAATTGCCCGAGCTATGGGAGGAAGTCACCGATGCTTTAGGTCGGAGAAGGTGGGGGAGCCTAAGCATCGAGGAGGAGGTGGAGGAGGAGGAGGAGGAGGTGGGAAAGAATATGATGGTACATGGTGAGGCTGGAATGGGTGATGGATGCTTGTATGTGTGACTCACTTCTACCGTCACTCTAGAAAATGGCCAAGTGTAACCACCTCCTAAAGCGTAGTATAGCGGGTTTTGGTTTTAATGTCAACCCGGGTCCTAGATGTGATGACTACTCCGTGAGTTCTTATTATTTAGCAGTGAAACTTTAGTGAAGGTCCAACCAAGAAAACAAGCAAAGCAAGTAAAAAGGTTGTTTTCAAGTTGAGAGAGGTCACCCGGATATGGTTACCCCTAGACTCCAGTTAAGCCGGATTGTAATTTACCAAGTTCAAGTTCAATGATAGTTATACTACGGGAGGTTCTTAAACAGTCTGTAGTCTCGACTAAAGGTCTCCAGACCCTCTCAATCTGAGTCCCAACGGGCGACTAACCTCCACTGGAGTAAACAGACTGAGGCCCTAACGAACCAAACCTCCGCTACTGCAGCAAATTCGGTACAGAATAGTAAATTGACCCCTCGATTAAAGTCGTCAGTTCACTACCTTCAATCAAGGGTGCTCTA